AAATTCAAATAGGGAAAACATTTCACTGAATGTAAGATCTTAAACTGCCAGAAGTAGTTTTCGTCTCATTTTCAGATTTGTGAAGCAGTCAGGAAGGTTTTGTGATCTCTTTTTACGTCATTGGAGAACTGTTAAATTGGTAGAACAAGTTACAGTCTGCTTTGCTTTTTCTGTTGCATCAAGATAGTTGAAATAAAAAAAGAAATCCCCAAAGCAAGCACAAGATGGGGATAATGTGTTAAACTGCGCAAGAGCAACAAAGATTGTTGTTTGGGTTAGTTTCAGTATACCAGAGGAATTACCAAGGAATTAGGTTATAAATGTGCAGAGTTGCAGAAATCGAAGCTGTAATAAGAGTGTTTGGTAGGGAAAATGAGGCATTTTTCCAGTTTATTACTCAGTTCCTAGAGCTGAGGAACAAACTCAGGTTGCCCTGTGAGTCTATCAGTGGAAGACTCTGTCTTCCATATCTTGTTGCCGTACAGAACATCCCATTTTGCTTAATTCTTTTGTCGCAGCTGCAAGTTTAGTTGGATACATATTTGTTTCAATAGAAACAAAAACTTTTGACCCAGCTTAAAAAACAGTGTTTAACAGTTATTTGAAAACTGACCTTGTGTGTTTGGGGATTTTGTCATTTACATGGCATTATATCTGTTACATATGTGTTGGGGTTTGTTGTGGGATTTCAGTGGTATTAAGGTCAGATATTCAAATACAGCCTTAGGAAAAACATACTCATCTTGTCTGTGCCTATTTATCTAAATAAATCAGAAAGTCATTCCTCCAATTATTTATAGAAATCTCCAAATTTTTGAGTGTGTGTAATATCTGCATTATAGGACTTTGTTTAAAGCCATTGAGTGGGTTTCAAAAATATGAATGATAATATGTCTCATTTGAAATAGACAGACATATTTTAATTAATGGACTTAGAAAAAAATGGCTTATTTAATGGTATTATTTCATTAAACACAATGTATTGATTACAATTCAGGACATTTCATATCTCTCATGTACAGACTTTTTTGACTGTTGTTTCTGCCCACATATATCATCTTTAATGGACAATAATGGATAACTTCTGAGTGACCTGTGGTATAATTCTCAAATATTTGAGCTGTGAAAATTTTAAATGTACAACTTGATTATTACTTTCAGATTCCTGCTGTTTGTGGCTGAAATTCTTCAGTGGTATTGGAAATAATGGCTTTCTTTATTATGTAATTTTTGTCGTGTTCTGACAAACATTCTAAAATGTAATATAACATTATTTTTCTGAATTGCTGCAAAATACTTTTTTGTATACAAGGGTTTAAGGACTGGGTTGTTTGTTTAGTTTTTTTTTGTTTTGTTTTGTTTTTTTTGTGTGTGTGGGGGGTTTTTTTGTTGTTTGTTTGGGATTTTTTATTTGTTTTGTTTAAGGATTCATTTAAGGAATTGGGAAGCTGTATGGCAACCACCTGAAATTTCAGGCAATGTTTTATATTCATTATTCTCTGACCCAAATCCATTCCTCGGCTCTGTTGTGGATGACTAGCTGTTCTTAATTTGTGTTATCCAGATTCTTTCTCAAATCAGAATGAAATTTGGTTTTAATATATTCTTTTGTAGGATGGTAATATGTAGTAATGAGTACTAAATAGAAAAAGATCATTAGATTCTAAAGCTCAGATGAATTTGAAGCACTGTTAGAGAAATGTAGAAAATTTTTATTTATTCTGCTGCTTGCAGAAAATAAAATTAACTGCCATTGCCCATCCTTCTTTTCATACAATCTATTATGAATTAGGACTTAATGAGCAATGTGCCACATAAAGTATCTTTCTCTGTGTATCAATTAAGATCTCTTTTTTCCCCCCAAATTTCAGGTGTCTAGAAGGCTTTAATAATTTTAACATTTACAATTTCATATGAAGACTCTCACTACATTATGCATGTGCTGATTTAGCCGACTTTTGTGCATCTTGAATATTTTTTAAAATGTAATGAACTGAAGGGGGTATATATTAACCAAGGGTGAAGTTATTAACTAGTCCCTTCTACTTATCCATAGAAGGCTTAAAGACTGCTAGGGCATGAATCTTAGCTTGGAGGCTTTTTGCTCTTTTTTGTTTGGTTTGTTTCTCTCATCTGTTTTTCAAGGGAGAAAACTAGGACATCAATTCCTTTTAGAAACATTGTTACTGGATTTATAAACATTACGTGTGCTGTACACTTTTATCGGTTTCTTCAGGAACTTGGAAATTTGTAATTATTTATGTGACTGAAGCAAAGGGCATTTAAAATTTATAGATTAGAATACGAACTCCTAGTAGTTAGTTGTAGAAGATTGTACTGCTGACTGTTCTTCTACTGTGTCCTGGTTTGGGGCATACAAGCATCATATAGCCAAGCCAGGACACAGTGACACTCTCTAAGTTGTTACATGAAAAAATGGATGGTCTGGTTTCCCTATTTCCAGTGTTTTATTAAATGGGTTTCATTAGTACACTTTTGCCAGTAAAATCTTTTTTCATGTTTGATTGTACCTGAGTCATCTAATAGCCATTATTTCCCAGTCCTATTTAATTTGCTGTAGATTAGTTTAAAAGTATATGCAGCTTAAACGTCACATCTGTGTTTATAATTTTTCCTGCTGCCTTTGTAATGAAATGTCACCATGCAATTTTGTCAATATTTCGATGGTTTCTCGTAGTCACAAAACTTTCCAGACACTTTCAAGATTTTAAGTTAGAAAACAGTTAATTGAAATATGGTTGCATAAGTGTATACCTTTTTTTTGTCAGCTACAGGGAGAGTGACAGTTTTCCTTTTGTATTTTTCAGACTTTGATAGGACTTTTCCTTTTGAGGAAAGCGTTCTCTATGTTGTCTCCAGGATGCCCATACTTGTAACTGGGTACAGCACAAAAATATGTCAATGAATGTAACCACTCTTAACAGTAAAAAAGTTGATTTTTAAATGTCTTGAGGCTGGAAAGAAACTTGTTGCATCTAAGTTGCATGGGAAAAGGTAACAATGCAGGGTGCAAAGCATGAAGTTGGATGAGCACAAACTGAACAGACAAATTGTGTTAACATCCTTTGACAAAGGAGGTTTAAAAATAGGAAAACAAGTTATGGAAGTACCATGTGCAGACAAGGCAGAAATATCTCTAGGCAAGTAGGAGAGCATGGAAGAGTGCAGGACTAAAATTTATAGGAGATAGAAGGTGGACACAGATAGGAGTAGGGGAAGAAGCTGGCTTATGCCATAGCATTTGAAACAGAGGTGGCCACATCTAGGAAAAGGAAATCAGTAGAGAAACTGACAATTCCATTGTGGCTGGAAGTGAATTTAGGAGGAGAGGAGATCACTGTGGCAGGCAAGGTTACATCTGCAGGAGCATCAGCATACGGAAGGGTGATACATCTCTCTGTCAGGGCCTTATCTGAGGGTGCTTTTTATTTAGTTATCTGTTTGTTGAGTGATGGAGACCAAAAAACAAGCAACTGTATCTATGTGAGAATTTCTTATTAATTGTAAAGATAAGGGTGCAAAAATTTAGTTGACAGATTGTATTATTTACTAACTTTCCAGTCCTGAAGCATGTCTTATTTTCCCTGTGGGAAGCAGTAGAGCTCACTAGACAGTGGTGGTGCCCAGGCCATGGCTTCCTCTGCCCTTTAGAGTATGACCTGCAACAGGTGATGGTGCTGGTTTTGGCCCAGCTACTTCAGTGCAAAATGAATATGCTAGCAATACCCAGCCTTATAAAGTACCATTGAAGAATTGTGTTTCCTGGGCTGTTGGGGTCCACTCCAGCTAGCTACAGACCACTAAACTGGTGCACCACAACATACCATGAGATATATAGATGCTGTCCCTTCAATTTTGCTTGCCATGCTCTTTAGAGCTTAAATTGCCTCTTAAATTCTTTTTTTAAAAAAGTTTGAACAAGGTATAATGTTAAAGTTTTCAGGAAATAGTTTGGAGAAAAACAATTAAGTATTATTTTTATATAAAGTGATTTCATGTCCTGTGTAGTTTCTATTCAGTAGACATTAAAGAGCTGAATTCAAATTGTTTCATGTCAGCAAAGGGTAGAGACTCCTGGTTTGCAGCAGAAACATCTCAGTGCAGGATGAGGGTGGAAAAATAGATACAGAGGGAAAAAAATGGACCTGACACCACTGTGTAGTGAAGCACCTTTGTCTGTTTGGAACGGACTATTTCAGGAAAACAGCTTTAGTCCCATGCTAATACTGGCACAAATCACATTTCAAAAAAAACCCCACAACATAAACCTGCACATTAGCTGGATCAGAAGAAATGTGAGAACTCATGTAGGATCTCCATATTAGGCATCAGATAAAGGAGAATAGACCCACACTGTTGAGATTGAAAAAAAAAAAAAAAACAGAAAGAAAGAATGAGATTGTTAGCTAAATATCATGTATAACAGTAAGATTTGATATGGCCATAGTTACCCAGTGACAACACAAAGCTGAAAACCTCTCTTTCAGTCATTTGGGCATTTGTTCTTTATACTGTGACTTTGACTTAATGGAGAGAATTAGTGATCAGACCTCTCTTGCTGAGGGCTCTGTGTAAAGATCCAGTAGAGTACTCACATTCAGATCTGCTTTCAAATTTGGGGATTAAAAACCACAGAGTGTTTTGAAATTCTATATGTAAATGTTATGCCATTATAGCATTCATGGAAATATGATTGCTAGTAGTATATTAAGTCTCACAAATTTGTAGCCATTATAGCTGCATGAGTTTTCCTGAGGTAGAAGTAGTAATGATATTTTCTTGACCAATCTGTGAATGTGCAGGGAGTGTATTGATCTTTATTCTCTTGAGTCTTACAGAGACAATAAACAGTTAAATCCTTGTCCTCATCTGAATAACAACAAATTTCATATGTCATTTTCCTTGACACTTTGCATAGGTTTGCAGACAGCAAATTCGGAATACTCAACATAATGTAAAATTCCTTTATCTTTTTACAGAGGGAAACCAAAGGTCAGTTTCTTATCGATCACATCTGCAACTATTACAGCTTGCTGGAAAAAGACTATTTTGGCATTCGATATGTTGACCCTGAGAAGCAGAGGGTATGTATATAATCTCTGACTAAATTTGCTTTAAAGTTAATTTATGTTTTTCTAAAATAAGCATGCATGTTCTGATGCAAAGTTATGTATCTCTGAGGATTTGTACTTGGGCTGTAATCTACAGAGGTTCCTAAAGTGGCATTATTAAATTAATTTCCTCCTCACTTAATGTATTCATTATCATATTATTATTATATTATTATATTATTATGTTTTCTGATTTGTGTAGTTCTGGGCACTTAAACTGGAAAAGAATCTACAGGCATGACTCAGAGTCAGCACACAGCAGCTGTGCTGTCAGGCTCTGACAGTACTCTGGAATTTGGGATTTTTAGTTTTCTCTTATGATTTTTGGGATACGTAAGAAGAAATCCTATTATGTTTATCAGGTAAAAGCAGTCATTCTGTTTCACCCATTACAGGGTATATGGCTTTAAAATCTGTAATACAGAAAACAGATATGATTTTTCAGACTTTGGGGAGTTCTTCAGGTTGGTCCTCCCTATGAGCATCTTTACATTTCTGCAGTAAAATTCTCAGGCCTGTGCTGTAGACATTTTTGTGTACAGTAATTAGTCATCTTTCCTAGGTGTTATGTGGTCCTGCAGGTTGTATTTTATAGGTGATTTGTTGCTGCTACCCCCACGTGGCTTCAGGTGACTTTTATTGTATGAGAGTAGGAGCAAATGTTGAACACAGAAAGCAGAAGTCCTCAGATACTGAAATTCAGAACTGCTTCTTCACCATGTTGTCCTGCTGGTCTCAGTATTAAGACTTAGATACGTGGCTTTAAATATCTTGGGTACATATAATGGCATTTAATCTCTGGAAACAATTACCAGTTTGAAGCTGCTCTGATTGAAGATGAAAAAAACATAATCTGGCTGGATACCTTAATTAGTTTTGTCAAAAATCACAGGAATTGGGGTATCACCATCAGTTCAAGGTTATAGAATTGCAAAAGCTTTGCAAAGCTACACCAAATAGCTTTCATTGCATCCCCCCTTTAAAGTGAAAATAATTAGCAGTTAGTCTCACCAGTGTTTTCAATTCTCCACAATCATAAAAGTTACAGAGATTTTCACCTATTTGGAATTGATAGGAAGATTCAGTTAGGCTAATAATTGGGCTATAATTAAGTAAGATTTAATAAACACTTACTTCTGTTGGGTGTTTCTCTGACAGTCGCTCAAAAAAGCTACAGAAAAGTTATTTTACTTAATGGAAGTAAAGAGGGTCTTTTAAATAAACCCCAAATTTTGTCAAAATACTTTAAAATAGTGTTACTTCAGAAAAAAGCTCCAAAACCTGAAACTGTTTGTGATGCTCATTATATCATACCATATGTGATTCCCATGTTTCAAAGAGCTGTTAGCTATATTGTTAGCTAAATTTGCTGCACTGTCTTATTCATCTTGGCTATCTAGTTGTTGTTTTACATCTCATAGTACGGCTAATTTGGTGCTAAGTTTATGGAAGATTCTACAGAAGCTAAAATTTTCTATTGCTTAGTAGCACAAGACAATTTGAGAAAAAAAAATAATTGTGCTCTTGCCTAAAAAACTGTGTTTTCATTTCTCTTTGTATCCCACAACTAGAGAATACTGTTGCCATTCTGTGTAGGATGGAGGCTTGTATCAGCTGGTCCAGTCTCCAGCTCGATTTTGCTAAGCAGACTTATGAAACTTGAATTTCCATACATATGTTTTTAAGTGCTGATTTACAACTGCTCTCATGTTTTCAAGCATATCAATAACATCTCTCTATTTCTTTATTTTAAATTCTGTCATGAATTAGGACATTATTTATAAGGCACCCTTCTTTGTACAGACTTAAATGCTTTGTTGACGAATTGAAAGCAATGTACCTTCTCCTATGAATTGTAATTCATAAAAATAAGCTATTTTTATATTCAGTACCTTATATTGTCACAAATATCTTCCTGGAAGACCAGGAATTCCTTTACTTCTGCACCCCAGCAATGACGTGAATATATAATAACCCAGACACTCCCACACAGCTCCAGGCTTTGCCACCTCACAGTTACTGCAAAAAGTTAACTCTGTCCTGGCCAAAACCAGGACTGCTCACTAAAAAACTAAGGAAATGACAGTTTTGAATTTATGAGGTACATGGCAGTTTTCCTCACCGTTTTTATTTTAGCAATTGTGAGTTTAGATGCCGGGAATTCATCTAACAAAAAACCATCAGTAGTTGCCTAGGTATGTGATTAAAAAGATAAGCTATAGCAAGTATAAGATGGGTGGGGTCACAGGAGAAATGTCATATGACTGTTGCCGCTGTACAGGTAAGAACACTTATAGTTCTGTGGAAGAAGTTTTCAAAGCTCCATGGAAAAAGTGTATTTTTAATTTGGCTGAAGAAATTTCCAAGACTTAGTGGAATTCTTACAGGTCTGAACAAAGAGAAAGGGACACTCATTTTCTGCAGTACATTATTAGGGCTCGGTGAGACGTGTCACAAAACACAAACAGTAGCCCAGCAAAGATCAGTAGCTGGACTTCAGCAACAGCTGCTTTCCAAACTTAAATCTTGTGGTTTGACCAAGCACAATTACTTTGAAGGAAAGCGGTAGTTCATGCTATGCTAGTTGATAATGTGTGTGACAATGTACTTCGGTGCTCCTGAGACAAATAAAGGGATATGGGAAAATGAATAAAATGACTATCGACTAATCTGGTTTTAGTGCATGACGTGGCTATGGTAACAGACAACATTTTGTTTGCCTCTTAGGACTGTATTTGCAGGAAGGAATTAATATCATTAGGCTCTAATGAGACCTTAGCTGCTCTGATCTAGATATCTGTATTCAAGAAAGATCAACTTAACTGAAGACAGAAAGAGAAAGGAAGGAATATTAGAAACCCAGAGTGGAAAGCTTGTTTATAAGATGATTCTAAGAAGGGACAACCTTTTAGTGCAGGAATCAAAGGCTAGGAAGATGAGGTTATACATGCATCAGACTGTAAAATAGAGAGAAAAAGTTTAAGCAAGGGCGGTTGTTCTTGCAGCAGTGAAAACTGCACTGTCTGAGACAGTCCTAATGGAAGCAGTGGGGAAAAATCTTTCACTAGGTTGGTAAATAATTTTGGGAGAATTCTCTATACTTTTATGGAAGGGATTTATATTAAATATTGGCAAAGATAGAGACTAGGCACCATCTTCTGACTGTTCTTTCAAACAGCATGTAATAGGAGCTGAAACAAGAAAGCATAACTCTTTTTTAGGAGAGTTATTGATTCTGGTGTACATAGTGCACAATGGATGTTGCTTTGCTGAATTTCTTGGAAATGCTAAATGCCTCTATTGTGGCATTTGATATGTTGTAGAATTTTATATTCGACTGCATAGTCTCTGTGTTTACACAGAATGGGCTATATCAATGGTTCCAAATGAAACTGCCAAAATAATGCATTTAATTCTGGCGTTTGGTGAATTATTCTTGATTGATTTTTTGAATAGTGATATATGAAATAATAGCATATTATTATATGGTGTATACACACACAGACACATATGAAATATTATGCAGATTTATGCCTGCTGGCATTTAGTCTAGCAGTGAAGCTTGCCTCCATTTTATTAAGACTTAATTTTTTAAATGCAAATGTTCCATAGTTGCTCTGAAAGCTAATTTGCAGTACTTTTGTTTTATAATGAGGGAGCTCAAGCAGACGAAAATATCAGCTTTAATCCAAAATATCTTCTAAATGTAGAGTATGCTACTAAAATGTAACATTTTGACTTAGGCATATCAAAATGTTTGATTGAGTTTGAGAATTTAAAAAATGAATTGTTTCACTATTTCAGATGTTTAAAATTAAATGTTTCAAGATTTCTGTTTAGAACATTCAGAATTTCTAACTGTGCAAAAAATGTAGAAAATTGAGCTAATTGTCTTATGTAAAAAAAAAAAAAATTGAAATATGGGAAAACAGCTGGTGATTTTACAGGTTATTTTTCAAGTAAGTAGTAATATATATTTCTTCCTTTCCCCAACTCCACTTTTATAATAATCCTTTCCTCCTACATAAATAAACACGTGTGTATATTTTGGGCATACTTAAACTTTTTCGGGCATACATACACGAAAAAAACATTTCTAGTTTTCTATATTCCACTGCAGACAAAAAAAAACCCCAAACTCTGGACGACACTCTTAACAGAAGGCAGCACTGTATTTTCTTTTATGTTTATGGGAAAGTAACTGTGACAATAAAATAAAATTGAACTAGCAGTTAAAAACCCCAGGTTCTCCATCATGCTGTATCTTTTAGGGTTACATTTGGATGTTCTTTTGGGGAATTTGTGCCTTAGTGTAGATTCAAAAATGTCAGTGGTGTTCTAATAGTATGCAGTAAATTGTGGTATGCCGTTTTATGTCTAATGACACTGAGAACAAAGGAGTTCCTAGTGTTCATATATTAACTGTTAACTTTTTCATGTGGATTTCTTAGACAATTATGTGGAATCAAATTGCCTTTCTCCCTGACTGTAAACTGCAGTAATGTTTGAAGCTACTTTTTGTCAAATTTGACCAGGTTAGAGATCACCCCTCGGCACTCAGTGCTGGCGAGGCCACACCTTGAATCCTTGTTTATTCTGGGCCCCTCACTTTAAAAAGGACTTTGAGGTGCTGGAGAGTGTCCAGAGAAAGGCAACAAGGCTCATGAAAGGACTAGAAAACATGTCTTATATGAGGAATGGCTGAGGGATCTGGATTTGTTTAGTCTGGAGGAGAGGAGGCTCTGGGGGCACCTCATCGTTCTCCACAACTCCCTGAAAGGAGGTTGTAATGAGGCAGGGGCTCGTTTCCTCTACTGTGCCAGCAGTGAAAGGACAAGAGGAAATGGCCTTAAAATTGGACAAGGGAAATTCAGATTAGTTATTAGGAAATTTTTCTCACTGTTAGGATGATTGGGAAATAGGTTTCCCAGTGAGGTGGTAGAGTCACCAACCCCGGAGGTGCTCAAGAGGTG